TTCACACACACATGGTACATCATGTCACAAATAGATATGTGCCTTTGTTTCATGATCTGCTTAACAATAGCGAAATGATGGCCATTTTAAGGCCGAAAATGCATCAAAATCACGTATTTTCACAATTCCAGAACCGGATCTCAGTCATGCATGGATGGATTTTGTTCAGATTTAGCACAATGTGTTTGTACATATGCAGGTGCATTTCGGTCATGATCTGCTTTGAATGTATATGTCACTTAAATATGAACGGAACGGGGACGTGTCATTGACAATGACTTGTTTGTATTTAATTTCTGGTGAGAACACTGCAGTTGTGTTGTTTTTGATAACAGCCAACTTTTTAGCTAGTTGCAAGGTTGTGTAAGATTCTTTGATAAAATCATAGGGATTTAGAATTTCTGAAGGACGACTGAATATTTGCGTTTCTGATTACTGTGTGTTTTTTTTTTTAATTTTTTTAAATTTAGAAAAAACAATAGAGGTTGGATTATTTCTTTCTTAATTGCCTCGTTCATTTAATGATTGTGCAGTCTGAAAATGATTGCTAAAAGAGTGGACACACAAGACGGATGATCTTTATACAGGTTGCTCATACATTATGCCTTAGGACTGCCTAAAAGTGGTCACTACAGGCAGATAGTCTTTATTCAGAGGTAGTCACTAACACAGGCTTGACAGTACCGTATTTTGTTGGATTGTGCCCCCAAATCTGACTGATTTTAGACAAACCGGACATGTCTTCCTTTCACGATATTCTAAATTGTACCTGTAACATTAAACCATTGAGTTTTTCTTATTTCAACTTTTATCCCTGTAGAGCGTGTGGGAACTAAACCACAGAAGTGTACAAAGAAAGGCAAAGTGGCGGCCAAGCCTGCTGTGAAAGCAACAAAAAAGCCTCAGGTTATTACCCGTCAGAAATCCCAACCCAAGCCACCTCAGAGAGCTCTGAAGGTTCCAACCGCTGAGCAAGATATTTCTGGTATGTGAATCACAATTAAATTATATAAAAAATTATATATTTATTATATATAAAATTTAAAATTGTGCTCTTTCAGCAAGCAGTGTTCTCTGTGGAACCTTTCAAGCATCATGGCCAATGTGGTTGGATTTTTTTGATAGCAAAGGAATAAATTACTGTACTGTAAACCCTTTAAAGGGGCACCTTCCAGTTAAGCCTAATTTTACAACAAATTTACTTTCTGGATTAAAATAACAATGGATAACAAAAGATAAATTAACATTGTAAACAACATAAACAATAGTGTCCCATGATTCTTTGGTGCAATCCATGGGATTGAGCGATTCCCCTTTAACATATAGAATGCTGAAGTCAACTTCAGGGACCATCTACAAAATAGTTAGGCAATTAAATTCAAATTACAAAATTTTACTTGGAAAAATATTGGTTGCTTGAACTAAAATTGTGAAACCTTGTGCAGTGATTGTCATAAGATTGTTAAATCACAAATATAAAGGGATTTACAGTATTTTTTGGCGAAGGTTATAATTTATTACAAATCTAGCACTGAAAACATTAAAATTTAGTGTTATGATAATCAACATTTATCCACATTTGAGGAAAATGGCATCATTAAACCCATTCCGGACTATTTTATATTATATTACCTATTGCTTTTCACAAAATAGTCTTCTTTATAGTCTGTACTTTCCTTCAGAAGTTTGGAACAAAAAATAGCCAAATTTTTTGAGTAGAAACTGAAAATTGGCCCAAATTTTGTTTGTTGTCTCCAAAATTAGGGTTCATTTCCAGAAATATTGAAGAATTGTAACAATAAAGAGCAGAAAAAAATTGGGTGAGAAAGTCTGGTGGCTAAAAGGTTAAACATGTACGTTTACTGTATGTGAATGCATTCTATAATATATTGGAAAGCTGTATGTAGTATGTAAATTCTTCCATCCTGAAGATTTCACAGATTTCAAATTGGTAGATACACATAGAAGCATTAGCCTATTGTGGATTACTTTATTTTGTTCAGGAATTTATTTTCACAGAATGCCACAATAAATTTATATACAAAAGTATGGAGGTCTTTCACTAAATTTTATTTTCACTGACTTCGCTGAAAATCATTCCAGAGTGAAAATGAAATACTTCCACAAAAGTTTATTTTTTGCTTCATTTCTGTCGCACGCAATTGAATCCTATTCTACTGTTTCATTTCAGATTCATTTTCTCATGTCAATCGATCTCCCAATTTGTCAACAAGAAGCCGTCCAATGTCGCCTTTCAAAGCTGACCAAGATATGAGTGCACAGGTCAAAAGTACACCCTATAATGAGAGATTGCCCTCATCTACCCCGATCAACTCTCCATCCAAGCAAACACAAGTAGACCATGCAAGGCCAGTATCAAGGGAGAAACAACATGGTTTTCCAGTCCAGTATAATAAATATCCGATACATGAACCATATCACATGAGCAGTGGTTCTGCTCCACCCCCTCATCTTTTGCAACAGAGACCTGACTTTCACATGCCTTTTGCTGGATTCCCCGGACTACACACTGGATATCTGCGACAACATGAAGGACCTGTCTATTCAGACAGACATTTATACTCCAGAACTAATGCTAAGTTTGGTTATCTTGATGAAGATCCTACGGGGTATCATTCAGACCCTTTAGCTTACTCAAGTAATGCCCACTACTCTGATGCCATACAAGGATTATCCAATAGGAACCCATCTTTTGATCATGTGTACTATCATTCCAACCCAAACTATGGAGTTGAAATTCCTGAGAGGGATACTCCACAATATTATCCGGTACATTCCCAAATGCCAAATGTTTTACCTCCTTCGCATGAACGTTTGCCTGTGACAGAAACGTATGGCAATTACAATTCCCAACCAAGACCTGCTGCCCCGGATTATTCCATTCATCATACAGCGATGTATCCACAGCAAACTGATGAGCCTATTGACAACCCACCTGCCAATGTTGATTCATCAACAGAGGGAATTCCACGTACTCCAGTAACAGGATATGAAAATTTCCAACATTTTGCAGATGAGTTGAGGGCTGATCTTCCCCTCAACAGCCAGGGCAGCATTACCTCCGTCAGAATCAACTCTTCTAAAGAAATGGACAAATCAGTAACAGTGGTTCAAGATAAAGATCAATCACATCGAGATGCAAAATTATCTGAGCCAGAAATAAACGCCAGTCTGGACGGCACTTTGAATATAGAACCTGAGCAAGAAAGTAAACCAATCAGTCCGTTTAAAATTCAATCTAATACAAGCTTTGAAAAAAGCCGAAGTGACTCCTCAAAACGAGGCAGTTTTCAAGAAAAAGAAAATGCCAAAGCAACCAATCAAAATGTAGACATTTCTAAGACGCCGGGAAAAACACCTCCAGGAAGCCAATCACGGAATACAAAATCTAATCAGGTGCACACATTGAAATATTTACTTGGAGAGCTGAGGGCTGTTACAGGAATGCAAGGTAAGCTAGACTCAAAATTCAACGAAGAATGAACGAAGAATTTGAATTTTAAATAGCGAAATTGAAACCCAGTGAATAATTAATGCATTTACAGAATGCAAGGAGTCTGTTGATAGTATTCTAATAAATGCAAATATATGGCAAATGTATGCTAATATATGCCAAATGTATGGAAAATGTATGCTAATATATGCCAAATGTATGCTAATATATGCCAAATGTATGTAAATATATGCTAAATGTATGCTAATATATGCCAAATGTATGCAGATATATAGCAAATATATGCTAATATATGCCAAATGTGTGCAGATATATAGCAAATATATGCTAATATATGCCAAATGTATGCTAATATATGCTAATATATGCCAAATGTATGTAGATATATAGCAAGTATATGCTAATATATGCCAAATGTATGCAAATATATGCCAAATGTATGCAAATATATGCCAAATGTATGCTAATATATGCTGATATATTATGGTAATATTATGCAAATTGCCAAAAATGTGTTTTTTTTTAAATAGTTTTCAACTTTTATGTCAACCTTACATTTTAACACATAATCTGTAATTGCTGTAATGTCTATAATTTAGTAATATAAAATAGATACAATTTTTTTGGGTAGTTTTACTTCACCACTTATGCCTCTTTACTTTCATTTATCTTAAGGTGATATTGAAATCAGTCGACTTCTTGACGAAATCGAATATGCCGCCAATGCTATTCCTCATGTCAGGGAGACAATCAACATAGAAACAGACATACAGTTGGCGTTACAGCCGCTACGAAGCGAGAACTCACAGCTGAGGAGAAGACTGAGGATTGTCAATCAACAGCTAAAAGAACGTGAACATTCTGAAAAGGAGAATAAAGATGGCACTATGGGTTTTGAATGTAAGTAGAGTAGTTAAAATAAATGGATTTGACTAAAAAAACAATTTGAGTTGACACTTTTTAGCTCCGCTGTCGACTTTGTCGAGCGGAGCTTATCATATGAGTGATTGTCCGTCGTCGTCGTCCGTGTCAATGTTTTACTTTTTCGACTTCTTCTTGAAAACTACAAGCCTGAATGCTTTGATACTTGGTGTATATATGTACCTTGGGTAGACCTCTCTTAGGTTTGTTCATTTCATGTTGATATCTTCAATTCTCTAATTTTGGTGAATATTTTTGTCATTTTTGGTAAAAAGTGATATTTTCGACTTCTTGTTAAAAACCGCAAGTGCAATTGCTT